ATATTTTTTGAAAATTACAATCCTCAAATCATCACAAAGAACTGATGACTCCTTTGGTGTTCAAATACATCCTGCAGACAACAGAACCTGCTGATGATTTACTGAGCAGATTCCCTGCTTTTGTTAAAGCATCTGTTTGAGCAGCTCCCACAAGGGAATAAACGTCCAGCTTTGCAGCTCAGCGGAACATAAAATTGTTATTTAGAAACCAGTGTAGCATGTACCTGTGGCCTACAATATGAGATTAAAAAGTACTTAGCACAGCAGCTGCTGAAAACATTCACCAAATTGTCTTTATACCATTCGTGCATGTATTTTTATCCAAATGTTTGCACTGCCAATGCAAAGGAACCAGCAAAGTGGGACTACTCTAACTGAAGAGCTCTGCACAGCTACCAAGTGGAGTCTGTGTTCTAGGAGCTCCCCATGTCCAGACTTTGCGTTGCTCACAGGTAACAAACACTGTGTGAGCAGCTGGAATTTAGCCAACACTTCTTTCTGCAGGGTAGATGTAAAACACAACTCAAGATTATCAGATTATTTAAGATTCTATTCCAGATTTATAAAGATTTGAGGTTGGAAAGCACCTATGGAGATCACTGAGCCAATCCCCACAGGGCTGCCCAGGGCTGTGTCCTGCCAAATCCAAGCATGGAGTGTCAGCAGCCTCTGGGCAAAGTGCTGGAGGGTTTCATCTCCTTCACAGTGGGGAAAAAAGGGGTTTTTATTATTTTCCCTGCATTTCAGTTTGTGCCCATCATGAGGACATTAGAAAGAAAATGTCTTTTAAAAAATTAGGACAATTGATACAGAAACCAGCAAGATAGAAAATTGGACCATCACAGAACTTTAGAATTCTTTTTCCCAACTTTTTAAAGCTTTTAGCTTCTTACATATTTGAAATCATACAATCTATATATAGATTTATATTGAAAGATTCAACTATATGGTCCAAAGAATTGTGATTCTTGTTGCCAAAGATCCCTCCTGGTTTTATATATATTTACAAGGAGCTCTGTGTTTGTGACAATTTTTCATATTGATAAAAATGTGATTAAAACACAACTGTACTTGTTATAACCAGCTTTGTTTATCCATAATGAACCAATCATAAGTGCAAATAAATGACTTCACCAGCTTCTAATTCAGCAGTGCTAATTCTTGATTTAGGTTCTGCTCCACATGGACTGAAAATTTATCTTTTGATGTCAATTTTATTACTGCAAAGAATTTGTTATTCAGCATGTAAACAGATAAATTAGCAGAGTCAGAATCTATTTTTTTATATTAAGAGAAGAAAGTGGACTATATGGGAAACTCTGACCAATCCTGTGACTGAGCTGACACAGTATCAAAACTGAAAAAGATACAAACTGAGATTACAAGAGGTAGACACTGCCAAAAGGAAAAATACATCAATGACAGTTCACAGCACAAGGATTCAGAACAAGAGACACTTCCACGAGTCACCACAAGCATTTGATACCATGATGGGAAGAAATGTAGCAAACTCATCACATTATTGTACTGCAAACTGTTAGCTGAGTTTCAAAAGAAAAGCAATTCCTTCCTTTGTAAGAGTGCCAGGCTATTTCATACAGATCAATGTAAATGTTCTTCCTTGTCAGATCTGTGCCTGATTGTATGGAACCACTGCACTTGAAAGGGAAGAATTCCCAAAGAAACAAACAATAAAAATTTTAGGCAATATTCATTAACAGTGGATTCAGTCTTAGAGATATTAATCTTATCTTCTGCTCACCATAATCATATTTTAAGACCACAATCAGGTCTTAAAAGTGATTAACTAAAACTGACCCTGTAATTTCTATCATAGGATGCCTAATCAGACATAACTTTAATGGGATTTTTCATTTGCACACTGAAGCCTGGTCACATAATACTGCAGTGAGAAGAAACTCTATAAGACAAATAATTATTTTTTTATTTTACATTTCATTGCTTCCTAACAGAGAGATCTAATGCTCTAGAGATTTTTTTTATGCATATCAAGGCTATAATTTTTTCCCCAGACTGAGGTAACACTACTGTCTACAGCACAGTCCTGGGACTGATACCTCAGTGTTCTGTAATTACAGCTTCACTGATAAAGATACAACTAACATACATGTGTGCTACAGAGGAAAAAAAAAATTAAATGTATCAGAAATACCTCAGTGTTCTGTAATTACTGCTTCACTGATAAAGATACAACTAACCGTACATACATGTGTGCTACAGAGGAAAAATTAAATGTATCAGAATTTCTGTACGTATTTACAGTGTTTTACAGTAAAATATTATTAAACCTAACAGAACAGAAGAAGTGCAAGTACAGTACAAAGGTTACAACTGATTAAAGTCATAAACAATTCACAGACTCCAAGGTATTTCAGGTCTCCTGTTGATGACGCTCCAAATCTATCACAGAAGGATAATACTGGAGAAGTTGGTAATCTGAAGTGGAACTGAAATGCATTTTCTTTCAGATGTTTTTTAAACCCCCAGAAGTGCCCCAGACTGAGATCATGAGTCTCAGATAATAAAGGCCACAGAGAGTTCAAATAGCTTAGAAATGATGGCACTTTCAGACACTGATAGAAGGAGTGCATTTTAGAAAGGTTCTTTTTATTAATTTAATGCTGCTGCTGTAGCTGCAGAAGAGTCTGATATCTCAGTAGTAAAACGCATTAAAAAGCCATTTTGTCTGCTGCTGTAGATGAGAAATGTAGTTATTTTGCTCAACAGCTGAGTTTTTCCAGAATCCCACTAGTATTCTCAGAGAAAACTATCTACTCTAGCCAAGAGAGAATGCTGATACACTTGTTATATAAGAAAAAGTTCTCAGGAAATAATTCACAGATACATGTAGGACCAGAATCTCTGCCATAATGTCCAGATATCACAGAACATTCCAGTCCACTGTCTCATGCAATGTGTTAAGAATTATAAAATTGCCAAATTAGAAAAAAACCTCTAAAAATAAAGAGGTATTTTGCCACCTGTGGAACACCCACACCAGGGTTGACAGGAGCGCAGTGCATCACAGAGGTGTTTAGGAATGGGTGATAAATGGTGTTGGCCAATTTCTTACAGCAAATCTCTCTCTTTAGAGATAACTGCATTATTTTGTATCACAATGCTTTACTAACTAAATTGTACCCCTAGAATATTGGAACTTAAACGTGCTCTCAATAAAACTTTGCTCTGTCTGTGAAATTGATTGAATCTCTCCCTACATTAAATTTATTAGAAGAAATAGAGTTGGAGGGTTTTATAACAGGGAAATGGTGTTCACTCAGACTTGTGCAGCAGTGGCAGAACCCATTACATGGATTGTGATTTTAATCTTGTCCCGTGCAGATCCCCATACTTGGCACTTCTTTTAATAAACAGAAACACGAGATTTAAATTCTACTTACACACTTAGAAAATAGATAAGACTAAATATCAGAAAACAATTGTTCAGGGCTAAAGAGTAAGAGGAAACTCTTTTTCCTTTCCTGTTTTAGACATAAGTGGCCAGGAGATTATACTGTTTTTGACATGTCATTTCTCAGAACTAAAAAAATAGTGTAATAAATTACTTCTGTAACAATAGTGTATTAAGATTTTTTTTAAAAACACAGGAGAAGGAGTATTTACATTTTACAACTGCAAATGTATTTGGTATTTGTCCCCCTCTTCTCTAAAAAAACAAAACTAAGAACAACATAAAAGATAACTTCTTTAAAACTGCTCAACAAAAAGCTACACATGGGCACCTCAACTGGATCTTGAAACCATTTCCATCTCTCCAGCTCTTAGTCAAATTCCAGACAATAAGTTCTTAGGGAGCAAAAGGCAAGTCTCTTAAGAAGTTTTCCCCACAAACATCACTTCACCATTTATAACACCATCAGCAAGATGTCTCATCAAATTGATTTCAAATCCACAGAAAAACTGGAAACTCATGAATGCCACAAAATGTATCTTGGCATTCTTTCACTCATCTATTACATTTTCTAATAAATAGAGCTTTCTTGAAATCCAATTTCAACTTGAAAATCTGACACACTCTGCAAAAGACCAGGCAATAATACAACTAAATATGTGTGCTGTGATGAAACACATTCATTTGAAATTGGTCTTGAAGCTGCAAATGAATCCACCCATGGGTTCACAGGCATGGATGCACAATCCCTGTGCAGAGGCTCGTGGACAGCAAATTTCATATGAGGACTTACTGTAAATGAGTGTTTAACCTATCCAGAATTTGTACAGGTGTAGGACTGAAAAACCATTACACTGAAAAACTACTAGTGAAAGAACATGACTTTCAAAAACAATTTTTCATTAGTATTTTTTCCTAAATAGTTTTAAATATTTACAATTACATGAAGAAAGAAGTTTAAAGGGAAAAGGGACAGTTTTGCCAGATTATACCCCTTGTGTGATGGTGTATCAAAGGGTTTGAGATTCTTAACAGACAACTGTTATTTCTGGACATATTCAACTTTAACATTAATGAAATCAAAACAAGCATCAGCAGACTGCAAAAATTCAGCTAAAAGAGCTCAACAGCTTGACTTTTTTATTTGGTTAGTAAGGACCCTAATAGTGCTCTAACCCCATCCCCCAAAACAAGATTAAAAAATAACAGAAACCCCACAGTAGCAAAAAACAAAACAAAACTACGGAAGACCAAATAAAATAAATTGAAAATACCTAATGTTTAAAGAGCATGTATGCACATCTGTATGCAGATTTTAAAGTCGCTTAGATATTTCTGAAATATTTACACTGTGATTTTCATTCAAAATCCCCATTTAAATTAAAAAAAATACTCTATTTGTCATATACTTCTTTAAATATAACAAAAGCACCTGCAATCTGAACAGGAGGCTTCTATTTTAAAAAAAGCTCTGCTTTAAAGATTTTGGAGATGCTGGCATTATATTTTAAATTAATCTGTGATGAAAAAACCTTAATATTTTCTTGAGTACTTGATAGATACTTACAGAAAAAAGGGCATCAGCTGAATAAGTGTCTCTTTTTTGGGATTGGCTGTGAATTCTGGCACAGTTTGAATAATTTTGTTCATTACATTCCTTAGGTAATTTTGTAGCTGCTTGCGTCGCTCTTCCACAAACTTTGCATCCTAAAAATAGAGAGGAAAAAATATAAATGGCACAAAGAACATGTTTCTCAACTTCGTCATGTAACTAAGCAGTCCTGGCAAGCATCAAAATCGATCTTTTGATGATCTCTGTTATTATGGCTATAGAAATATGTTGGCAATACGCAAAAACCCCTTGACTCTGTCCTTAGAGATAAAGGAAAATCATGAATCCTAATAAGACCACAAAAACATCCACTGACAGGATGTCAGATCCTCTCCCTGGCAGAATCTGTCTTCTCTGGACCATAAACCACTGCAATCTTAGAGAGGCAGAGCAGAACAGCAGCACAGAGGCTGTGGCATTACAATTTATACAATTTTTTTGAGATCCAGAATTACCAGTCTTTGCAGGAGGAAATGCTGACTTACTTCCACAATGTCTCCCCAGTTCATACTTTTCAGATGATGGGTACACAAACTCCAGAATGGACAAGTATTTGTCCAGCACTTTTATGTTGTTAAATAATTATTTTGTGATGATGTCTTCATATAGTAGATTTTTTTCAATATTACATCAAAACTCTAATTAAAATGTTTTCCTGCAGTTTCTGTAGCATTTTAGATCCAGGATTTTATACTATGTTGGCCCAAATAAATCGACTAGTTCTATAAACTCCACATTCACATTCTGCTGATGGACCTAGAAGTTAAAAGTTTATCACAACCAGCAAGATGCCAGGCATCCCATAACTTCCATGTCGTTTCAACCTTTTCCCTGTGAGGGATGACAATTACATGGACTATAATCTAAAGGTGACACATTTCCCAGGAACAGGGAGCTCTGACAGGTTTACAGTGACATCAGGTGCTGGATGCTTTATGCTCAGCCAGAGTGTTCTGTCTCGGGCAGGCTGGCACAGCTCACCTGGTTTAAATGTCACAGTATGTTCTTTAGGCACAAAGCCAAACCTATTATTAGACAGCTACTGCTCTCAAAAACAACCAATATCTAAGAGATGTGTCTATCCAACCTGTATTATTTATGTCTGTAAGAAAAGGCATTGAAATTAATTCTTGTTTCTTGGGGGGGAAAAAGAAACCAACCCGCCAACAAAACACCATAAATACATTTGACAACACTGAATAAATTCATTGTATGGAAAAGGTTCAGCCCATGCTGCCATGCAGGGGATGCAAATCTGAAGGTTATTGCTTCCCTAGATAGAACAGAACAACACCATCAAAGCAGGGATCCTCCTTCGAGTTCAGGAGGAATTTGCTGTAGCATTCCTAGAACCTTCACTGACATTTTGTTCTGTTCTTCCCTCCCATTAGAAGTTACCAGGAACAAGCATATTTTTAGGAATAACAAATCAGACATAATTGTAGGGACATAACAGAGTAAGATGTAAGAAATTGCTGAAGACATCCATACTTACAGACTTCATAAACTTAAGCAGTGCTTACGTTGTTTAATTAAATTTGCGAAATTCCAAAATATGTACAGATTCATTTTATTTTTGCTTTCTACATATGAACTTACACAGATGTCCAGTCCTGTTTTAACTTTCCAGTTCTACATTAATACATTTCATTCAATCCAGTAATGTTATGAAAAATTGATTAATGTATTCATTAATCAAATAAATTAATTCAATGGAGATCTAAGTGAAAATAAAAAAGCCCCTATATATTATATACTTTGCTATTTCATTTTTACCAGTCACATATTTTTTCAGCAGCATACACAGTTGTGTTGCAAGTGATTTGAAACTCCTCCTTTATTAAACCAGCAAAGCTGTGGTGTTGGAATGGCCCCCAAGCCCCTGTGCAGGGTCACCTGCCCAGTTCCCAGAGCTGAGAGCAGCTGCTGGGACACAGCAGATCAGAGCTTGTTCCCTGCCCTGCTGCAGGACGACAAATGAGTGGAACTGAAGCCTATACAAGCTGCTGGGAACATTAAAGCAAACATTTTAATTCATGACTACACACAATATTACCATAAAATGGAACTATAATAATAAATAAATGTGCTCTTCAATGCTAATTAAACAATTAGCATTATGTTACTTTTTTCTTCTTTTCACTAAGATTTCTTGTTCCCACTGATTCTTTGGTGAGGCTTAAGGAGAAGCCTTGTGTTCCCCTCTTCTCTCTGAGGATTTAAAGCAGCACATCACCCCATTGGAGGGACATTTCTCTGCTGCGTGGGGATGAAGACGAGACAGGGACTCATGGGAGATGTCTGGAGAAAAGAAAAAGTTTGTGGAAGAGCTTTGTTTCAGGAAGCTTTAACCACATGAGCAGAGGGGATGTCTGGCACCTGAGCCCCTTTCAGCTGGAGTCCTCCTGCCCCAGGTGCTGCCAGCTGTGCCATGGGGGAGGAACAATCCTGCTTTGCCACTCCCCGGGCAGGGGCTCAGAGCCCTCCCAAGAGCTCACTGCCAGCTGTGCCATGGGGGAGGACAATCCTGCTTTGCCCCATGAGCCACTCCCCGGGCAGGGGCTCAGAGCCCTCCCAAGAGCTGCCTCACCCTCACTGCACTTGTTCACTCCACTTCCATTGCTTCTGTCAGTTGTGTTTTCACAAGAAAACCTGCACTGTTAAATACCACATTCAGCAACTTTTTCAGTTCTGAAGTTTTTTTGGCCATAAATCTTCAACAACAGTACTTTCAATTCTGAAATAATTTCAATTATGTTTAAGTTTTCTCTTAAGCAGAAGCTGCCTTCCTTTAGTATGACTTCTGTACTGCAAATGTACTTAACTAAAAACATCTTCTTTGACAGGAAGGATTTCTGTTATAGACACAGGAGCCAAATGCTGAATGTAGGTACTTTCTATCTCTTATATTACTCTAAAGAGTCTCCTTGACTACAGGAAATAATGGCACAAAGGACTTTTCTAATTAAGACTGCCAGAACATACTTAGGGAATGCAATTTTTGCTGTTTACAGCTGAACAAATTAGTGCTTATAATATGGTTATTTTTCTGCCATTTGTCCAAGAAAAAGGCAGAACATCCCAGAAATAAAAACCCAGCCTGAAAACAGTTAAAAATGTTATTTTACTCTGACATGAATTTGATCTGTAAAACAAACACCAAGCAATCTACCATGAAATTCTGTACCATGTAGTAAGGCTCGTTGTCCTCACCAGAAGCAATGTAAACCAAGGTCAAAATGATTCAGCTCCAGGTCTGCACTTTATCATGAAACGTGCATTTTGCAACAGCAGGTTGGCTACTCAGAGCAATGATTTTAGCACAGGGTTGTTACTGCCAAGCTGTTGCTGTAATAAAGAGTTTTTGTCACAATATAGTAAACAGAACAACTGGTAACAGAAAAACACAACTGGCTCAAAGCCTGGCCAATTTTTTCAGTCTTAAATTATAAAAAGGTACCTATAACCTTCTTTTCATTGGGCCCAATTATCCACAGCAGAAATCTAGGCAGTACTTTACATTCCAACTCGTAAACAAAAACCTACTTTTATTTACAAGCAAAAAATACAGTGAAATTTTTTGCTGTGCGTTTGTATCAGTGACACCCACGTCCTACTTTTAGCACATGTCTTTGGTGATTGTATGAGTTGATGCAAGTCTACATTTGTATATGTACTCACACAGAAAACAGCAAAGATCTTCCCCTAAGGTTCAATATACACATTTACGTACACTTGATGTGAATGTACTTTGAGGACAAAGTAATGTTGTTAAAATTACCAATATATTTGCAAGAAACCTTTGCATTTTCACATTATTTAAGGTTAGATTTCATAGCTTCATTTTTAGGGAAACAAATACATACACAGAAAGATAAAGTAACAGTACTTAAATAAAGACCCCCATTTTCATTGAAGTTTTTTAGACATATTTTCTAAAAAACAAAACTGCTACTGTTTCTGCACTAACTAGAGTGAAAGTAATTTACTACCCCACAGGTCAAGAGCACAGTTTTGATTAAGAGATCACAAAATTTCAGTTAATAAGCAAAAAACTCCTTCAGATTACAGAAGCATCAAAACACATCTGGTAAAATATTTTTAATCTGAAATTCGTGTCTCTCAAAATGTTATATGAGATTCTTTCTGACTAATAATTTGCCACATTTCTTCTGCCCATGGCAAAATGCTAGTATCAAATTACAAATCTCTAAAAATTGTAATAGATAATGGAAAAGTTAGAGACTCTCAACATATATTAGAAGATGATGTTAAGGTGTAAAACCAAGAAGCAGAGTCTTGATGTACCATATTTTATGTCATGTTCTTTTGCAGTTTTTCATTACAAGCCAAGTTCATTCCCACTTGCAGTTTAAATTGTTTCACACAACTGCTGGTCTTTTATACACACTGCTAGTATGGAACAGATGGTGAAACACTGATATTCTTCATTATTAATGGGACAGCTCACTTAAGATGTTTCAAATATTTTCCAGGAGCTTTTGGAAATGCTATGATTGCCATGGTTACCTGCCATGATTTAGGGACAGATAAAACACTTTTAGATTCTGGGCTTGGTGCTGCTGCAATCAACATCAAACTCACAGTTCCTGAGGTTCTAACCCTAACTTAGCATTTAACCAACCTCCTGCTGGTAGCATGGGGGAAAAGGTAACCCAAACAAAACCAATCAACAAAACAGTTGAGGGCTATATCCAACTCAATTAAGATAAAAGGAAATATGAAATGAAAGGAAATATGGCTTTAGGACTTTAATCAGCCTCTGATACCACACAATGCATCCCACCCTAAATTAAGCTGACAGTAGTGCTATTCAAAGTTGAACCTGCAAATGCAGAAATAAACTCAGGTTATTCTAATGCAGCCAAATCTTTTCTGCTGTCTTGGCCAATCAGTCTTAGCAAAATTACCATATCAGTTTTTATCTATTTATGAGGCACCAAATGCTAACCTCAAAATGAAGCTGGCAATCAGAAGCTGAGATGGGAGCTAATTAAATATTCAATTGCTGAGTCATTCTCTCTAGTTTGTAATTAAAAGTTATACAGCAAATATTCACTTTAGAGACTGACAC